GACTTCAGTTTCTTGCTGGCTGTTGGCTGGTGGTTGCCCTCAGCTGCTGGAGAGGCGAGCAATTCCTTTCCATGTGGGGTTCTCAAAGTTGATTCCTCAAAGCCAGCAACGGAGCCAGAAACTCCAGCAAGGAAGTGCTATAATCCTATAAATGTGATCATGTAATCAAATATATTTAACCATATACATCCTATTACCTTTGCCATATTTTATTTTTTTTAAGATTTTATTTATTTGACAGACAGACATCACAAGTAGGCAGAGAGGCAGGCAGAGAGAGGGAGGGGGAAGCAGGCTTCCTGCTGAGCAGAGCGCCTAATGTGGGGCTCAATCCCAGGACCCTGAATTCATGACCTGAGCCGAAGGCAGAGGCTTTAACCCACTGAGCCACCCAGGCACCCCACCTTTGCCATATTTTAATGTAAGTCCCACTCATGCTCAAGGGGAAGGATAGGATAGGGCAGGAATACCAGAAGGCGTGGATTGAAGGGGACCACCTTAAGAGTATGTGTATCGGGACGCCTGGGTGGCTCAGTTGGTTGGACGACTGCCTTCGGCTCAGGTCATGATCCTGGAGTCCTGAGATCGAGTCCCGAGATTGAGTCCCGCATCGGGCTCCCGGCTCTGCAGGGAGTCTGCTTCTCTCTCTGACCTTCTCCTTGCTCATGCTCTCTCTCACTGTCTCTCTCTCAAATCAATAAATAAAATCTTTAAAAAAAAAAAGAGTATGTGTATCACATACTTCAACCATAAACGAATGAGTTTTGGTTGCTTCACATCTTTACCAATATCTGCTGTTGCCATCTATTTAATTTTAGCCATTCCAGCTGTTGTAGAATATGCCACTGTGGATTATTTTTATTTTATTTTGTGAGTATAGTTGACACAATGTTAGTTTCAGGCATACAATATAGCGATATGACAAGTTTGTATGTTATGCTCTGCTCACCACAAATGTAGCTACCATCTGTCACCACAAAATGCTGTTACAATATCACTTACTATACTCCCTATGCTGTGCCTTTTATTCCCATTGTGGTTTCAATTTGCACTTCTTTAATGTCTAATGATACCAAACATTTCTCCATGAGCTTTTTGGCCAATCATACATCTTTTTTTCGGAAATGCTTTTTCCTTGTATTTTGCCCATTTAAAAGATTGTGTTGTTTGTCTTTTTATTATTGAGTTGGAGGAGTTCCTTATATATTTTGGATAAAGATCCTTTTATAGATATATGTATTACAAATATTTTCTCTCTGTTTACATCCTGCCTAGGTTTTTCTTTTCCTTAGCAGTGTCTTTTGATGAGGAGATAGTTTTAACTGTGATGAAGTTTAATTCACCAGTTTTTCTGTGATGCTTAGTGCTGTGCTGGTAAGAATGTTCCTCTCTCAGTTATTGATAAAATGAGTAAATGGTACATTTTAACATAAGTTGTGACCCAAAGAAGAAATCACAAGGGAAATAAAATATCTTGAACTGAATGTTAATAAAAATACATCATATTAAACCATCTTATATTTGTGAGATACAGCAGCTGAATCATTGCATAGAAGGGAACTTAGAGTCTAAAATGCTTACAATTTAAAATAAATTGTTGATGCTTCCACCTTACAAAGCAAAGGGAAAAAAAGAAGAATAAATTAACCCAAAGGAAGTTTAAAAAATATGAAAAATCAATAAAATAGAAAGTGAATCAACCAATTAGTTCAGGGAAAATTGGTATAGCCAAAATTTGGTTCTTATAAAAGAACTAAGGGGGCAATAAAGCTCTATTTAGACTGATCAAGGGAAAAAAATCAATGAAAAAAATTAAAGATTAATACAATAAAGTTTTAAACGAGTAAAAAATTCATTGATATAATACGCTGTATTATATTATCCTGGAGAGAAAAAAAACACATTATTACATCAATAGATACAGAAAAAGCATCTGACTAAATCTGTTGCCCTTTCATGACAAAAATACTCAAAAAATTAGGAATAGAAAGAAAATTCCTCAACCTGATATGGGCTTCTGTGAAAATCCCCCCAGAGAACATGACACTTATCAATAAAAGACTGGATGTGTTCTACTAAGGAACAGAAACAAGACAATGGTGTTTGTTCTCACCACTTCTATTAAACATTGTATTGAAGTTTCTAAACTGGGACTTTAGGCAAGAAAATAAAATAAAAGACATCCAGATTGGAAAGGAAGAAGTAAAATAATCTCTATTTTCAAATGATATGATCTTGTATATTTAAAAAAAAAGCCCTAGGAAATTCATTAAAAACAAGAACAATCTAAAAATAAAATAAGGAAAACAAGTCCATTTGCAATAGTATAAAAAGAATAAAATACTTATAAATAAATTTAACTAGATAAGTGTAATACTTAAATATTTAAAAAACTGTAAGACGTTGCTTAAAGAAAATAAAGGAGGTGCCTGGGTGGCTCAGTCATTAAGTATCTGCCTTAGGTTCAGGTCACCATCCCAGCGTTCTGGGATGGAGCCCCACATCAGGCTCCCTGCTCAGTGGGAAGACTGCTTCTCCTTCTCCCACTCCCCTTGCTTGTGTTCCCTCTCTTGCTGTGTCTCTGACTGTCAAACAAATAAGTAAAATCTAAAAAAAAAAAAAAAAAAAAAAAAGGAAAAGAAAATTAAGAAGGTTCATTAAATGGAAAGACATTTCATGTTTATGCGTCATATGATTATGGCAAAGTTAAGATGGAAATACACCCCCAATAGACCTACATATCAAAGCAATCTCTATTAATATCTCAACTGGCTTTTTTTGCAGACTGAAACTGACAAGCAGATCTAAAATTTATATGTAAATGAAGTTTCAGAATCATCAAAGAATTCTTGAAAAATAAAGAACAAAGTTGGAGCATTCACACTTTCCTACTTTAAAACTTACGGCAGAACTATAGTAATCAAGATAGTGTGGTACTGACATGGATAAACATTTAGATCAGTGGAACGGAACTGAGAATCCTGAAATAAACCCTCACATTTCTGGTCAGTTGATTTTCAACAAAGGTGCCAAGACAATTCAATAGAGAAAAACAAAACAAAACATTCTTTTCCACAAATGGTGCTGTGGCAGCTAGTATCCATATACAGAATAATGAAGTTGGCCCCTACCTGATGTTATAGATAAAAACTAGCTCCTTTGGATCAAAGACCTAAGTGTAAGAACTAAACTACAAAACTCTCAAAGGAAAACAGGATAAAACTTTATGATCTTGCATAGGCATTGACCAGTTTCTTAGCTCTGCCACCACAACACAAGCTACAAAACAAAATTAAACTTTTGTGCTATAAGAAACACAGTCAAGAGAGTAGAAAGAGAATTTATAGAATAGGAAAAAATGTTTGCAAATCATATATCTGGAACACATAAAGAATACTTACAATTAAAGGAAGAAGTAAAGAACTTGAACAGACGAATAACCAGCAAAGAAATTGAATCAAAAATAAAAAATCTCCCAACAAGCAAAAGCCCAGGACCATATGGCTTCACAGATGAATTCCACCAAATATTTAAAAAAGAGTTAATACCTATGCTTCTCAAACTGTTCCAAAAAACAGAAATGGAAGGACAACTTCCAAATTCATTCTATGAGGCCTGCATTACCCTGATACCAAAACCAGGTAAAGACTCCACTAAAAAAGAGAACTACAGGCCAATATCTCTGAAGAACATGGATGCAAAAATTCTCAATAAAATACCAGCAAACTGAATCCAACAGTACCTTAAAAGAGTCATTTACCAAGATCAAGTGGGATTTATTCCTGGGCTTCAAGGGTGGTTCAATAGTCAGAAATCAATCAACTTGATACACCACATTAATCAAAGAAAGGATAAGAACCATATGATCCTTTCAATAGATGCAAAAAAAAAAAAAAAAGCATTTGACCAAGTATAACATTCATTCATGGTAAAAACCCTCAACAAAGCAGGGTTAGAGGGAACATACCTCAATATAATAAAGGCCATATATGAAAAACCCATAGCTAACATCCTCAATGAGGAAAGACTGAGAGCTTTTCCTCTATGGTGAGGAACGAGATGGGGATGTCTACTTGTCACCACTGTTATTTGTTATTTAACAGAGTGCTGGAAGTCCTAGGCACTCTAACTTCATTTTGAAATTGAACAGACAAATTTGCATGATGTTTGCATGGCAATTTAAGTCCATCACTTTAACTTAGTCGTGTCTTCGTATTTAAAGTAAATCTCTTATAAATAGCATATTATTATGTCTTGCTTTTTTATCCAGCCTGACTAGTACTGCCTTTCAACTGAAGCATATTTTCTTTTCAGTTATATCTGCTTCCAGTTTTTTGGAGGTTAGTTACTATAGTGATTATAATATGCATCTCTAATGAATTGATATATGCAACTTTACATATAACATAAGAACCTCACGACAGTGATTGTATACATTTTTAAATTACAAATCATATCATTTTTTCTTATTACTGAACACCATAAAGTAGTACAATTTTACAAACCTAGTTTATTGTGTGAAAATAAAATTAATGAGGAGAAACTATCTTTGCGTTGTTATTCATCCTTTGCAACCATTTTCTACATGTGTATGCACTTCACTGCTCCTTCTGTGAACTTGCCATCACTCAGTATGAAATACAATTAATTGCTTAGTCTCAAGGGAGCATCTTTCAAGAGGTAATATAAATGACCCTTATCGCAGAACAACCTTCTGGGAAGAACAAAGAGAATTTATCTGCTAGATCCCCTTGTCAACATTTTTCCTCATGGATCTTGAATCCCACACATTTCTGGATTGTTCATGTGTAAGCACTGGCAGGTCCTGCAGCATCTCATTAGTCTTTTTCCAAAAGAAAAACTCCAGGGCAGGAGGTGAGACGCAATATTGTTTGGTTATAAGGTGAGCTAACCATCCAGTTGTGCTAATGTGATGTCTCTTGCCATAGCAGCACAGCCCACCAGGTGTTGGCTGTCACATGTGGCTACTGTGACAAATGGCTACTGGTCCTGAGGCTGATGAGGCCAAGAGCATTAGAGTACAATGTTTGATAAAATGCATCTTTTTCACCACTCATTTTCCTTCATGCTTCCCATTATATTCACCCATAATACTGCAATAGAAGCACCAATTTTTGTGAGTAGATCATTCCTTCACTTCCTCCCTAAGGGGGAAAGAACAAGTTCATTTCATCACAGAGTCCTGTTCAAGATGATATCCAGCTACCATCTCTGGAAAGACTTAAGCAAGAAGGTTAATGACACAAGGTAAAATCCCTGCTGGTGAAGATAATATTAAGGTCATAATTGAAAGTCTTCATGTCTCTCTCCTCTACTCTTTTGTGCCCTCATGTCAGTCTATCACTGGCCGGTGTCTGTCAGTGGGGGGAGAGGGGGTAGGGATGGGGGTAGATGTCATAGATGAGGCAGCTCTTTGGCTAAGGGCAGTTCTCAGTCAATACTCACAACAGCTGGGGGATGAGTGTGTGCGTAGGTAAAGGACATTTAAGCAAAGCACCAACAGCACCCATCCACTAAAAGGGGTTAATCCTACCTCTGTTCTTTTTTCCTTGCCCCCTTATATTCTAGTTGCTGGGGGACATAGTACTATATATTAACTGTTGGTTCAGGGCATATACCATGTCTTGGAGGGCATTCCTCAACTTTGCACTGTCTGGAGTATTTTGTTATGGAACAAAATCTGGCTAATACAGACGAGTTACGAGGTAAAGACCATTGGCTCCTGTGTTTGTTGTTTCCTCTCTTTTGTCATAAAATATATTCTCTGGTCTGAACCATTATTGTGAGAGAAACCATGTCAAAATCTAAGGCTTCCATAAATTCTTGAATATTGGTCCTGGCACTGAGGACAAGGAAGGCAAATTCATGACTAGGTTAGGTACCAGTTCTGATAAGGATGCATTACTGCCTCCCCCAGGGTAGAAGTGTTCCAGTGTAATCAATCTGCTATCAAGTGGCTGACTGGTCTTCTCAAAGAACAATGGCATATTAAAGGCTCAGTTTTGGTATCTGCAAGTGGCAAGTTGGGAATTCAGCAATGGCCATTAACCTAGCTAGATCAGAATTAGTGAGGAGTCCATATTTTCTGGCCCATGCAATACTTTCATCACTGCCACCATGACCTCTCCATTCATAGGATCTTTATGCTTGCTAGCTGATACCACAACACAAGTCATGTCGTTTGCCTGGTGCCTGAGAATGCTCTCTTGGGAAAATAACATGAGACACAGAGATACTCTAATCCCCACAGTTCCATTCAAATTTTGTTTTCCAGACCAATCTGTCCCCAGTATTTCAATCATTTTTTTTTTCAGGTCCTGAATCAATTAGCCAAGCCATTTCTCTCTGCCTAGAAGTTCCTGTATATCCATATCTATATCTCAGGCCACTTCTTCCTAAGAAGTCAATGATCAAGTGTATTGCTCACAAATCTTCCCAAGGGAAGATTTGCCACCATCACTGTACTGTGGGCACCAGGAGTGCATTTTTTTTTTTTATAACACTTACATCCTGTACCAAGCCATGTGTAAACCAGGTCCAGGTTCTTTCCTTCTCCATCTGTTGGTCTTAGAGAATCTCCTTAGGCCAAAGGACTGAACTGAGAGAGAAGTGTCAGTGCAAGAGAGGTTGGTGATGTAAGAGTTTAGATCATTTGTTCACACTTACTCATGACTTCTTAGTCCCTGCTTGCCTGATCCTGAATGTACCATATCCATTGTATAATGGATTGATGCTGACAGACCTTATAGCTCAGAGAATAATAATCAGCTGGTGACAGGCTGCTTCTATTGCTTAGGCACTTTGTCTCCATTTGGGCCCTAGTAGCACAAACAGCTGACTTTTCAAATAAAGGCTAATTCTCTGTTGCAGAAGGTTTCCTTGCTATAGAACCTTAGGTGTATACCACCTATTGGGGCTTGCTGGAGACTCTATGTGTTACTTATTCACCACAAACACCTCTCATACCATTGGATCTGCTGAATCATACAGCTTAAGTAGCTGGCCAGCTTGTACTGCACTTGGATTTCTTTCCTTTTTCTTTTTTAAATATTTATTTATTTATTTATTTATTTATTTATTTATTTATTTGAGAGAGAGTACGTACACACAGAAGGAGAAGGAAAAGTAGGCTCCCCGCTGAGTAGGGGGTTCAGTGCGGGACTTGATCCCAGGACCCCAAGATCATGACCTTAGCTGAAGGCAGATGGTTAACCGATTGAGCCATCCAGGTGTCCCCAGCTTGGATTTCATTTAGAGATGTCTTCTACTTTGGCACCCACTTGCTGTCTAAGTCACCTGATAAATGGGCTGGGGATATATTCCCAAAGACAGTATATGCCTTCAAAAACCAAAGAAGTCCACTAAGTGAAGAGTCTCTCTCCTAGTGGCAGGAGGTGATATTTTTACATTAAAGGTGATGTTTCCTGTGTTCCCATAATTTTGGAATGCTAAAAATGTCATTGACATGGCAAGCCCTTGGATTGCCTTAGAGTCTTTCTTCCATTCTTCATCATGCATGTTTTACAAGGCCATTTAGACTAATATTCAAAGTGGAATCTACAGACTGCTGCTGTCGGTTAACTCTTGGTTACTGGTTCTTGCCAGATGAATTATGAAATTGAAAATCTGTGTTTAGAACATTTTATAGCAATTGACATTGCTGTGACATCCAAGTACATGATCAGAAGCCTCATCTCATTAAGCAAGGTATTGATCATTTTAGCAACTGTCAAACTTGTGTGGTGATTCACATGGGCAGCAAGGTACTTACCTGTCAAATTCAGTGGTGATTTCCAAAAGTATCGCTCCAAGACAGATTGGAAAAACAAACAAACAAACAAACAAACAACAAACAAACAGAACTATGAGAAGCACTGATTTGGAGTACTTGGCCCTTTGTGTCCACTAGGACAGAGAAAAGATGTGTTAAAATAGCCCTGAGGCAACTGCCTCTCTAAAGACAAAGTGCTTTTGATCCTTTCTCATGATAGAAATTAGGAAAAGCGCATTGACCAATTAATATCTATATACCAATGCCAAATCTATGTTGATCTGATCCAATGAAGAGACTACATGTAGTATGGAAACTTCTACTGGGGCTCAATTTATGGTGGTCTACTATCACCTCCCATTTTTGTAAGGGTTAGATAGGAGAGTTGGTTGAATGGAGATGTAAAAGAAACCACAAACTCTGGATCCTTTAAATATTTGATAGTGGTATAAGTCTTTGCATTTCTTCCTAAGATGCTGTCATGCTTTTGAATTACTATCCTGACTGGGGGTAATAGTGGCAGTTTTAGCACCCTCTATATGGTCCATGCTACATAATGGCAATTGCTCCACAGGTCAGGGGACCAACATGAGGATTTTGACATCTGTTAAGTTCATCTGTCCTAATTATACAATCATTGATTTAACCACGGAATGTGTTCATAGACCTACTGGACTCACAATAAGTTGAAGTTGAGCCAAAACTTCACTAGTTTCCATTCTAATTGGAGAATCATGGTGGTGTCAGTGACAGTTTGGACACTGTATCTAACAATTCTTTTTTTTTTTTTTTAAAGATTTTATTCATTTATTTGAGAGAGATCAGGAAGCGGGGGAGGGGGGCACAGAGGGAGAAGCAAACTTCCCAATGAACAAGGAGCCTGATGCAGGATTCAATCCCAGGGCCCTGGGATCTTGAACTGAGTCAAAGGCAGACACTTAACTGAGCCACCCAGCTGCCCTGTATCTAACAATCCTTGAAGACTCTGAGCATTTCCTTTTTTCCAGTGCACAGTTACCCTGGCTAATGGCCACACATCCTTTTGGAGAGCCACTTGCTTCAACAGTCTTTGCATGATTTACAGGCAAGAGAAGACTATTTTCCTCTGGCAAAGTGGAGGTGCTGATTGCACATCAGGTTACTGATGGGTTGGAGCCAGTTCATACCCAGCTTATAGGAGCCAATTGTGGGCATCACTTTTTAATACTGTGTTCAGTGACATTATGTTGGTAGGCTGAAAGCGACTAAGGTGGGAGTGTTTATTCAATAGAAATTGGCTAATCCTACAAATCATGGTCCTTCCCTGCCAACCCCTCCCCTGAGAGCTGGCTGCTAATCTTTTCCAGTATTCCACAGGTTCAGGGGAGAATTAGGAGAATCAATATTCTCAGACTCATCCACTCAAATATCCCATCCTGGGTCTTAGATCACTTTGCTCCTTCAGGGACCAGATGTGGACATAGGAGACCTTGTAAATCTATGCATTTTGTTGCTTTTTCAGCTCTGCTGCCTTTACAATCAGATTCTGGGCCTGATTTTTGGTATAGTTTGCTCTAAGCTACGGAAATCAGTCTTTCACTTTTTTTTTTATTGAAGTACAGTTAACACACAATATTACATTAGTTTCAAGTGTACAACATAGTGATTTGACAGTTCTATACATTATGCAATGATCACCATGAATGTAGTTACCATCTGTCACCATTCAACATAATTACAACAATACTGACTATATTCCCTATGCTGTACTTTTCATCCCTGACTTATTTATTTCATAACTGGAAAGTCCGTATCTCTTAATCCCCTTCACCTATGTTGCCATCACCCCACACCTCTCCCCTTGGGCAATAACTAGTTTGCTATCTATATTTATGAGTCTGTTTCTGTTTTTTGTTTGTTTGTTTGTTTTGCGTTTTAGATTCCCAAAGTAAAGGTTTCAGGGTTTTCTATGCTGTACAAAGAAAACCCTAAAGACCTCACCAAAAAAACTATTAGAACTGACAAATGAATTCAGTAAAATTATGGGATATAAAATTAACATACAGAAATCTGTTGTTTCTATACACTAATAATGAACTAGCAGAAAGAGAAATTAACAAAACAATCCCATTTACAATTGCACAAAAAAAAATACCTATGAATAAACTTACCAAAGAGGTGAAAGACTTGCTGCATCTCTGAGACACTAATGAAAGACATTGAAGACCAAATAAACAAATGGAAAAGATGTACTATGCTCATGGATTGGAAGAATTAATATTGTTAAAATGTCCATGCTATCCAAAGCAATCTACAGATTTAATGTAATCTCTATCAAAATGCCAGTAGTATTTTTCACAGAATTAAAACAAATAATCTAAAATGTGTATGTACCCAGAAAAGACTTCAGATAGTCAAAGCAATCTTGAGAAAGAAGAACAAAGCTGGAGGTATCACAATCTCAGATTTCAAGCTACACTATAAAGCTATAGTAATGAAAATAATTTGGTACTGGCACAAAAATAGATCAGTGGAACATAACAGAAAGGCCAGTAATAAACCTATATGGTCAATTATCTGTGACCATTGAATGGTCAATTAATCTACAATTTATATGGTCAATTAATCTACAACAAAGGAAGAAAGTATATACAATGGGTAAAAGTCTCTTTAATAAATGGTACTGGTAAAACTGGAAAGCTATATTTCCCCCCCACCCCCTCAAAAAAGGTTGAACTGAATCACCCTCTTAAACTGTACTCAAAAATAAACTCAAGGGGCGCCTGGGTGGCTCAGTGGATTAAAGCCTCTGCCTTTGGCTCAGGTCATGATCCCAGGGTCCTGGGATTGAGCCCCACATTGGGCTCTCTGCTCAGCAGGGAGACTGTTTCCCCATCTCTCTGCCTGCCTCTCTGCCTACTTGCGATCTCTGTCTGTCAAATTAAAAAAAAAAATAAAAAAATTAATAAGAGAATAATGTTCAGAATTATGCTTCCCAGAATGCCCAAGTTCTTTATCTTATATTTTATATTTTTTCTTTAATTTTATTGCATATAGTTTTGTTAAGACAAAAGCAAAAATAATTTACATCAAAATCACAGTCTTTTAAAAAACTGCCAATGGAAGCCTTCTGCCTTTCTCAGCGTGCCTTAAGGTGACAGTTGCCTGCCCTGAGGTATCATTTTCTTTTACAAAGGGTACAATTCCGGTAACAGAATCCATCCCAATCCCTACAGTTATTATCCCCATACTGCTCAAGCGTCACAGCCATGACACATTCCAATGTTCCACCTTCTATGTGCACTGCATCCTGATCGGCACAGGTGGGAAGCCTTAGTAGTTATGATACCACTGTGTGGCCCCACTTACTACCCACATACCATGCTTTGTCTTTATTGCCATAAGACCAGTGATTAAGCCAACTCTAATATTCCATCCTGAATGTCTTCAGGACACTTTGGAGCCAAGTGTTTTAGCTTGGATTCTCTAGAAAATACAGACCAAGTGCAATTTGAGAGAAATACGAGTGAAGGTAAAGGGGAGTGGGCAGGGAAGGAGGGGAAACTAATACAATGATATCAATTCCAAACTGGCACCACTTGGTATCAAGGCCATTTGATTTCTCAGTGTCACGGGTACATGCTAGGTATGAGGACACCCTAGTTAGCAGAACAGATATAGATCTATTCTCATGGACATGGCTGGCAGGTGAGCTATGCAGTTCTATAAGACTCCATTTAGAAAGGCATTGGGCTTGGTTTAAAATGTTCCACACTCACTATCTTGAAAATCTCAATAATTTGTGAAAAAGGGGCCTTGCATTTTCATTTTTCACTGCGACTAGCAAATTATGTTATCTGGTCCTGCTAATGTAAATTATAGTTTAGTAGGGGAACCAATCATAGTCTCTCTCCTGAGGAATGTGAATTAGTGACATGGAGAGGGGATCATTGTGGCAGGAATTATAAAGAGATGAAGACTAACAATGTTCACAGAGGCAGGAAGGATGGGAGTCAGCTAGTGGATGGATGATAAGGTACAGGAGTGTAGCAGGAGGGACTCTTTATTTTTTAGTTTTTTGTCTCTTTTACTCCTCCCCTAAACTAATCAATAATCCTGAATAATTAAGGTAAACAAAATGGATCTCTGTTTCTTGAAATCTGAAAGAATCTAAGAGCATACACATATGGGGGTGATTTAAATTGTGGAAATAAAATAGAGCAAATGGAGAAGAGAAGTGAGGATCTCTTAGACCAGTGTTATCTCACACTATATGTGAAGAGCCTTTCCTTTCTTTTTAATTTCATGAATTGATACTTCTGAAAAATGAAATTTTTAAAAATACTTGAAAATGAAATGAAAATTAAAAAGGCACACCAATTACAGACTCACATTTTAAGTATTTTAAACAGATACAAAATTACATCTCAAAAAACACAGAACAAAATATTACATAGCATTAAAGAAGAAACTACAAAAACCACTTTGTTCACTGTTAAGTGTGCATATAGGTGATTAATATAAAGAGTTACTAATACATGGTTAGTTTTTAAATAATTCCACAGTCAAAAAACAAAAAGCTCGTAGTGAAGGAGTAATTTCCCATATTAAATGCTATATTTAATATTTAAAATTTGTCAGTAGTTACAGATTTTAACACGACAAATGAAAATGTTTCCTGCCTATTAAATTATCTTAGCTAGGTTAGAGTGCTGACAATGCCTCTAGCAGGAGATACTGTGTATCTAAACTGTTTTTATGTTTTACTCAGTAATACTCATAGTAGAGAAATTAGTCTCTCAAAGATATGTTTAAGGGAATGGAAGTGATTTGAAGACAATTTCAGCAAGCTGAGGACATTCACTTTTAATTTTTATCCAGAATAGAGCAAATACTGTTTTAGTTTCAAAATTCATCTTCCTTATCAGTAATAGTACTGGTTTTTCTTATCAATTCTAAAAATTTGTCCTTTTAAGTTATAGTTGCATTTAAAGTATACTTCAATTAAAGAAATGGATTCTGGGGGCACCTGGGTGGCTCAGTACTTTAAGCCTCTGCCTTCGGCTCAGGTCATGGTCCAGGGTCCTGGGATCGAGCCCCACATCGAGCTCTCTGCTCAGTGGAGAGCCTGTCCCCCCCACCCCACCTGCCTCTCTGCCTACTTGTGCACGCTCTCTCTCTCTGTCAAATAAATAAATACATAAATAAATATCTTTAAAAAAAAAGAAATGGATTCTGGATCCATGAATTCCCTATGTGTGGAGATTTTTTAATGGAAAATAAAAATGCTACATGTTTTATCAAACTCACAATTAGTTTCCTTATATTTTATATATGAATGCTGATGAATTTTGATGTCTGATGCTTCATCAGACAATTACGGTTTTAGTACTTTACTGTGAGTTTTGGCTATGGACTCAGTAGAAGGGGGATGCTACTTCCGAGCAAAAATAGTAAAACACTTGGATCTTTAATTCTTTAGAATCACTTCTCTGGCCATTGTTTGGGTTGCTACCACTATTACTAACATAGTACTGACATGTGTCTTTTCTTGACAACAGGACAGTAAGGTTTATTTCATCACCTATAATTTAGGGCTAGAAACAAATGACACAAATTTAACTTCCCTAATATAGCTATGAATTTCAAAAACCAGGCTTGATTAAAAATTAAAATGACTGTAAATATAACAAGTTAGAAAAGTAAACAAATATTTACACTTTTACAGATTTGTATTCACTTTGGGGTTACAGTTAATCAACTAATCTTAAAATTTTATTCCTTATAATGTGGTCCTACTGCACAAAGGACACAGCTATGCCACCTACAATCACACAAGTTGCGAAACACCTGAACTGTTCCATATTCTGTTTATTGAGAAGTGTTCAAAGATCATGTGCCTGGAAATAGCTGAAATATTAAATCGCTGAAAATGCTGCTAAGCACTTACTCTTAATTTCTGTGCTCATTTCCTTGTAAATGAGACATAAGCAAACTGGCAGTGGTCCAAGGAACACACGTTGACTCATGCTGCTCTAGGGAAACTGCCCTGAACACAGGGAGAAAACCAGGGAGGAGTTTATAAAGGAACAGAAGGGAGGAGAAAAAAGCAACCATGGATTTATGGAAGACTAGGGAAGTTTTAAGAAGGAGGATGTGGTTAACTGTGTTAACTGCAAGAAAGGTCAAGTAGAGTGAACATCAGAAAGCAGTCACTGAATGAACAAGTAGGACATAGGTAACCAGAGAAGCTCCTGGCCTGGGCGTTTGGAGGTACCTTCAGGCCCGGCTCTGCAGGGGCGTGGGTGTCACCCACCTTCAGGAAAGGAAGGGCTGGGTGGTGGCCGCCACCGAGCCGGGGCTGGGCCTAAGGGGAGAGCTGGTGCCATCAGAGCTGCCCGGCTGGCTTGGAACCCGAGGGTCCACCAACTAACCGTGTTTACACAACTTGAGTGTTGAACCCCGATTATAATGTCTGTGATTTCACTGTTGGAGGAAGCTCAGGAAAAGAATCTTTGAAGAATCTGTAGAATTTCTAATATTTCTTTGGTGTGCAACAGAAAGCTGTGTGTGTGGGGGGGTAAGGGTTTTAAATGTAGTGGAAAACATAGTTAAATTAATCCATGATAACGACACACATCCTTTTATAAATTGAGAAATCTCTCTTTGATTTATCACAATTGTGGCAAATCCAGAGGTTGATAACCTGGGTTTAAAGTAAGTCATATCCACATATAGAGTTTACTTCAGTTTCCAGAATTTTCCTCTGCTATTCTGGCCTCTCTACTTTTAGCAAACAAGCATTTACTGCTGGCTACTATATGTCTACAACGATGCCTAATATTTGGTCTCTATCCTGAAAGGGCTCATTGGATAAATATTATCAGTCATAATGCTTTCTGGTGTAAACAACTGAAAACTCCAGCTCAGTTGAGGTCACCTCCAGCATTGGTCAAATCAGAACTGATTTGTCACAGAGGATGCAGATGTTTTGGTATTACTTACTGTAACATCATTAACATTTCTGCCTTATCCTCAGGTCAGCTTGTCTTAAGTCACAATGGCCAGAGTAATTGTTTCAGTGTCACATTCTCATGATAACAGTTAAAGGAAGAAGAACTGTGTCATCTCTGTATCTCATTTATCAGGCTGCCAGCAGACAATCTTTGATCTTGCAAAACTGCGTCCTGAGCTTCTGCCTACACTAATCCCTGGCAAGGTGAAGAGGATTACCACTTTGATGCTATTCATTCTCTGTAGCTGGGGCTGGGTTTGGGCCCTACTTCCTGACAAAGAAGTCAGGGCCCCCAAGAGATGATTTCTGAACGTAGGACAGACTGGCTGTTGAGTAGGCCAATGACTGCCAACCCTTTTCACATCCTGACATATATATCATGGTATATACAGAAAATGGTAATCCATTGTACAACTGCCCAAGATAAACCCAAGAAGTTTGCAGCCCTGACTTGACTGAAGGGTCCTGCTGCCTCAGCCCTGGTCAGCTATTCCAAGGACGAGGGGGTTCACATCAGAACATAGCTATGTATTATTCACAGTGCCTCAAGTGGTAAATTCTGACTGGGCAATCCACTGGGTCTGCCAAAGAGAGAAAAACACGTTTTCATACTAGACAATCTATTATTACAGTAAATGTCATGAGAGAAGAGACAAAGCTTCTAAACCAATGTTGGATGGTGTTAAGCTCTTCCAGCAAGCTCTTCTCAGAGGGCTTTGTGCCTTTGCGCATGCTCTTTTCTTGGTGCATTTTTTTTTTAAGATTTTATTTATTCATTTCTCTCTCTCTCTCACACACACACACACACACACACACACAGAGCACAGCACAAGCAAGGGGAGATGCAGGCAGAGGGAGAAGCAGGCTCCCTGCAGAGCAGTGAGCACTACCGGAGGGAGGAGGGGGGTGGGGGGTCGGGGGTGGGGGGTGGGGGGGCTCTATCCCAGGACCCAGGATTAAGATAGTTAAAATGGCCAGCACAATCCCTGGTACATAGCAAGGCAAACTTGCTATGTACATACCTGGCAAACTTCTATTCAGGTGCCACAGCTTCTCTGAAGTTGTCCCTTAGACATTTCGACGGTGCTTCCCCCTTTTTACACCGCTATTAAAACATTTATCAACACTATAATTTTTTCTGTACCCATTCCCCCACTCCCCTTCTGTAAACAGTGACCCTAAAAGGCTAGTAATTGTTCTACATCTTGGATCTCCCAGTGATCGTCAAAATTAACTTTCTACGAGGTGTTCCACGAACGTTTGTTTTTGTTTTGGCCGATTCTGCCTAACGGATTGGGCGGGAGGAGCGTGGTGGAGAGGGAGGGCGCCGCCCACGGAGGGAGAGGGGCGTGCCCGCCCAGGGTGCACACGCTTGATATTCCCGGCGGGGCCGGAGTCGCAGCCCCAGATCAGCCCACAGATAAAAATGGGGCCCGATCTCACCCCCCAGACTGTGCGGTGCCCCGTTACCGGCACCCAGGCCTGAAGAGGAGAGTTTCGGGTAGAGACACGTCCGGGCGGGGCGGGCCTCCGGGAAGCTGTCCCGGGCCAGGCCGGGGGTCCACACCCAGCCCGGCCGACCTCGCGCCCCCGCCCAGCCTAGCGCACCGCTCCGCGCCCCGGTTCCCTCCCGACGCCGGCGGGCCCGGGAGCTTCACGGACGTGACGCCGGGGGCGGAAGTGACGTTTTCCCGCGGTTGGACGCGGCGCTCGGTTGCCGGGCGGGGGAGGGCTCGTCCGGTTTTTCTCAGGGGACGTTCAAATTATTTTTGTAACGGGAGTCGGGAGAGGACGGGGCGTGCCCCGACGTGCGCGCGTCCTCCTTTCCCGGCCCTTCGCCACCAGTCACTGGCTCCTGCCCTGGGGGGGAGTCATGCCGCCCAAAAACCCCCGGAGAGCAGCAGCAGCAGCAGCAGCCGCAGCCGCCGCCGCCGCCGCCGCCGCCTCCGCCGCCGCAGCGGCCGCCGAACCCCCACCGCCGCCGCCGCCGCCGCCGCCGCCTCCTCCTGAGGAGGACCCTGAGCAGGACAGTGGCCCCGAGGACCTGCCTCTGCCCAGGTGAGCGAGCAGAACCCCGGCGGCCGCGGCTAGAGAAGGGCGCCCGAGAGTGCGTCCGGGCTGGCGCCCCGGCGTCTAGGCGGGGGCGCGTCTCCGCCCGCGGCCGCGTCCGAGCGGGAGGGGGGTGCTCCCGTGTCCCCTACCGCCACGGAGCGCCTGGAGGAGGGTGACAGGGGTCTGGGTCCGGGAGCGAGGGGAGGGAAGCCGGGAAGGGTCTGGGCTCCCGCTTGACAGGTGTCGGGCGGGTGGGGCTCGGGTCCCTGAGCAAAGTGACAGGTGCCGCCTTTCCTCCTCTAGGCGGAAAGGCTTGCAGGCGGCGGGTGATTACGAGGCCCCATCAAAGGCAAAAAAAAAGAAAAATGACTGACTAGTGTCTGATGGAGAGTTTGTTTCCTGTTGAGATTTGTAGTTTTTCGGTGGCCGTTTGACTTTCTGTTTTGGTCTACTGCGATGCAACAGCTGAAAGTGTTTTCCTCTGGGCGTGCACTGCATCCGAAGCCCCTGGCTGAGAGAGGCCAGGAAAGCCATCGGACGTGAAGTGCAGGGTCCTGTGTGTCAGTTGCCCCCAGGGTATTCGGCTGAGGTGTTTTGTGGCGCTCCCTTTTAACAGTGCTTTGGGGATTCAGAACCATCTGTAGTTACTGGAGGAACATAACTTTTGAGAGGAACTGGTGTATGGGAAAAAGTTTTGTAACTTAAAAGTTTCTCAACTTTTTCTTTTATTCCCATTGTATAAAACTCTTTTATATTATTAATCTTCAGCATTTTTCATTTTTGCTTTCATTTTGCCTTTGAGCCAGGAAACAACTGTGTGTCCTCTCGTTTTGTTTTGTTTGGGTACAAAGTTAGTGATGGTCTTGTGCTCACATGAAACTCCCCCCCCCCACACCGCCCCAAGTGGTATCTAAATTTAGCCGAGTCAATGATAATGCAGTAGAACATGACAAGGGGGTATTTATTCCATTGCAACATTCTATTTTTCTTGATTGCGATACTTTTTATGGTTAAGAAGCTAAGATTAAAAGAGTATGATTGCCATTATTATTGTCCGCACTGGTTCTACTTTGAGACTACATATTGATTTCAGGGAAATGGAATTAATTTCTGTCCCTCATCACTTCCTCCCCTGTTCTAGCCCATTACCAAGCCCTGTTCTTTCAACTTGCCAGACACTAACAGAGTTCAGACAAGTTGTAAAAAATTGGAATGGTCTTTGGGATGTCCTGTGAAAGGCTATTAAAAATACATATATTTAAATGGGTTGTCTTGTGGGTTAGTTAAAAATCACACTCACTTAAAAAAAAAGTCTAGTCTGTTCTGGGAGAAGACAAATTTAATTTCTGATTAAACTCTGATGTATCCAATACTTGAAAGTTCTCATTTGGAAAAAGCACTAAATCTACTCTGAAGAATTTCCACGTTACCCAATTATAAGGTAACCAGAAATACTGAAATTTTGGCCATCACCTGAGAAAAGAATGCCTTTCTTCCCCACCCCAACATTATGTTATATACTTGTAAATGATGGAACTATCAAAAAATCTCCTGTAGTTCAAAAACCATACGAGATACACTCTACTCTTGATTATCCATACCCACAAAAGGTTTCACTAGTATGGGCAATTGAACTCTGTAGATTAGCTGCTTAGCAAGGGTAAAAACTAGTGCCTGGTGATCCGAAGCCTAGCACTTGCTTAGGGATGGATTCAGGGCCCACTCCACCTGCACTTTCAATGACAGAGTGTGTTTCTACCTTGACAGCTGAGATCTTTTTTCTTTTGCATTGTATCTGGTCTAAGTGGTGAAGTTGGAAGGAAAACCTTCACTAGGAACAGCATTTCGCCTTCATTGTTGACATAATCAAAAGTTAATTATATTTTGAAGGAGGGTTGGCAGTCTGCAATAGTGGTCAAGGGCATGGATTATGGAGTTAAACTGTTGGGTTTCCCACTTACTGGCCATGACCTTGAGTGAGTACTTAAGCTTCTCTGATTTGGTACTTATCTGTAAAACAAGGATAATAAGAGTACTTATCTAACAGGCTGATGTACGGATTTCACTGAAACTATGCATCTAAGGTACTTTGTACAGACAGGGTCAGAGTAAATACTGAAAAATTACTCAGTATTCCTCATATTATTACTATTAGGTGTGAAATAGACATTAAATGAATGAAAAAGAACTAGCCAACAAGGAATTATTGACTACTTGTCCTGGGTAAGGAGGATGAAAGGGAAAAATCTGATATAAGCATAGCAGTAATTTATATTAAGTTAATCATCATGTGAGACATTGATAAGTTGTAGACTGCATTTTAGCAAACTCACTAATACTAAATTGAATCTGTAATGTTATATACGGGCTTTCTTCTTTTTGTTGTTATTGTCATCCCAATTTTCCTATACAGCTTTAGCTATCATACTTTTACAAAGCTATTTTGCTGTTCTGAACTGTATGTGATTCACCAGGCCAGCAAACATCTTTCACTGTGTTGTATTTTTGTTGGAAAGACTTGGAAAAAGATAAACATGTTTAAATTCTACCTGTAATTTTTTTCAAAGATAGATAAGATTTTAAAGTATTTATTGATGCTTTTTTCAGGACAGTACTGTTATACACAAACCATTGAAAGAAATGTTTAATCAGTTTGATTTGTAAGTCTATCCCTATTACTTGTCTATTTTTATCTGGTAGTCTCGTGTTGGAAGAAACCGAAGAACCTGATTTTACCGCATTATGTCAGAAATTAAAGATACCAGATCATGTCAAAGAAAGAGCTTGGTTAACTTGGGAGAAAGTTTCATCTGTGGATGGAGTATTGGTAAGGATTTCTTTAACATTTTTTGAAAAAAAGTTTTCTCATTTTTTTTTTTAAAGAATTTTTAAAAAAATCAATTATGTTAGAGGGAGAGAGAGAAAGAGCCTGAGCACAGGGAGGGGCAGAGTGTGAGAGAGACGGAGAATCTTAAGCAAACTTTGTTGAGAATAGAGCCCAATACAGGGCTCAATCTGAGGATCCTGAGATCATGACCTGAGCCAAAACCCAAGAGTTGGATGCTCAATCAACGGAGCCACCCAGGCACCCTCCAAATTTTCTCATTTAAAAAATAATTTTGAATTACTCTAGATAATTTGAAAAATAGAAAAACATAAAGAAAAGAAAAGCAAATAATAATTTTGTTACCTAGAGGTAAATAATGTACATCTGATAGCATTACAAATTTTTTAAAATCTCCACATGTAAACCCCCCCAAAGTATTTTAAAGTTTTTTTTTTTAAATTTATTTACTAATTTGACAGACAGAGATCACAAGTAAGCAGAGAGGCAGGCAGAGAGAGAGGAAGGGAAGCTGGCTCCCCACTGAGCAGAGAGCAGGATGTGGGGCTCGATCCCAGGAACCCAGGATCATGACCTGAGCTGAAGACAGAGGCTTTAACCCACTGAGCCACACAGGTGCCCCCAAAGTATTTTAAAGCAAATCTTAGCTATCATATTTTATTCATACATCCTTCACTCAGATATAAAGACTTTTTAAAAGACAAAGCCATACCTTATAATTTTTAATATCTTATAATATGTAGTGTTTAAAATTCCTGATTGTTTCAGAATTAGTTTTGTTAGAATGTAGAATCTTTGATAGCATTTGATACATTTCTTTCCTTTTTTTCTTTACAAAAGTATATGTGTGTATATGTAATATTACTACTACTAACACCAGCAAATAATTACTAGGGCTTTGTATGTACTGGGGGATATTATAAGAACTTAAAAAATAACTCATTCAACAATCCATTGAGATATGAAACAAAAAGTCTTTATTTTACATGTAAAATGTAAAATCTTGATTATTTTTTAGAAGATACTGAAATAGAGTGAGGTTAGGTAACTAGATCAAGGTCCTGGCTGAGTCATTTAAAACACAGATTTGGGATCATACATGTAACTACATGTAACTATAGTTACATGTAATAATTTTGTATCTTGTTTTAAATTTTTTTTAACATATCATGAGAATTTTATTATGTTACTAAATTTTTTTGGTATTTGATAATGTTTCCAATGGTACTGTAATATTTTATACATTAGATATATTTTAATTTGCTAAAAATCTTGCTATTATTGGACATTTTTCACCACAACTTTTTGACACT